ATTGCAATAATATTTCCAAATATGCTATTTTTTTTTTTTTACCTTTTTAGGGATGGGACTGTCTCTCTGGCCAGAGGTGTCGTCTGGCTGCCGTGCACGCTGTGAAATGAAAATCGATAAGAAATAAACAATAAAATAAATAAATAAACAACTTAGAACTAAAAAAAAAAAAAAATCAGAACAGAAAAATGTCTGCTACAATTCCAGATACATTTATAGTTTTTCAGGTAAGTGTGCAGGTTATCGCAGACTAATTAACATATGAAATTAAATTCTCGAGGAACTGCATAACAATTAGGTTAACATTTACCTTCACTGTTGGGTCAACACTGGGTTTCAGGGACGTTTTCTCTGTACCAGGAAAGAGCTGTTTTGCCTAAAATAGAAACAGAACATCAACTCATAATTTGACTTACCACTAATTTTAGCATTTATATTTGTAAAAATGTGCATAAATCATGTTTTACATGTTCCAGGCAGTTTCTGCAAGCATCTCTGATAAGCTGCTCGGGCTGGATGTCAACTCCAACATTCTCTTTCACATTGCTGGCCGCTTTCTCAAAAAACTGCAAAGAAAAGAGTAAAAAAAAAAAAAAACATGATCAAAGCCATTTAAACACACGTAACCAGTGCCAAAATAATAATGTGATCGATCAGTCACCTTCATATATTTTCTGAACACAGCACGGATGTCTTCATTGAAGCTGGGCTGCAGAACGGTCCGCAGAAGATCCATGGAAATGACAGGGTCTGTATAACTACACACAATGACATTGATGTTTTGAAAGAACCACAAATCTCCTACAAATGACTTCATTAGAGCACATTATCCTGCGATAGGACAAAGTAGTTTAACAATGAAAACAAATGTTGCACTTCATCTTAAAATACCTATTAGTGGACTTACCTAACGGCCATCTGTGAGCGCCGTCCTCTGCGATGCACCTGTCTGTGTTTGATCATGATGTTCCAGGGATTCTGCCATTCGGAAAAACATTTTCATAAAATGTAAATGGCCATTAAAAAAGGATGCAACAATCAAGATCCAATCAGGACAGCCCTCTTGCACGATTAATAATATAATGAAAGTTCTATTAATAAATAATTTATAATTGCAAGTTTATGCATGTAACTGGATGGTTTTACTAATATATATATATATATATATATATAGATAGATAGTTCTGAAAAAAAAAA